GGGGGGGGGGGGGGGGGTGGGAAACAGAGGTGAGGTTGTTGTGGTCTCCCCAGGCCATGTCAGGGAACATCAGAGACAAGTTAAAGGGATTCAATAAGTTCACTTATAATTTCAAAGATGAAATTGTGCTAGATCTTATTTCTAGAGTTGTTCTCTCAGAACCCTGCTAAAGGTAGAAAACAGAGAGGTTTTAATTGTGTCAATTATCCTGGTCCTCAGATGAAGTCGGGTTGGCATGTGGCAAAAATCACAGGCTCAGAGGTCCGAGGGGCCTGAATGTGAATCTCCTTTCTTCCACTTACTACTTGTGTGTCTTGGAACAATTTACACACTCTCCCTGCATCTCAGTTATCCCAATTTTCAAAACACGGAGGCAATGGCCGCTTCTGAGGGTGTTTCTGAGGATCAAATAAGAGCATGTATGAAAGGCACCTGGCATCATCTATCCCATGGCACTGAGTAGACGCTCAGGAAGAGATGGCTCTTACTAAGATGCTGTGGACTTTCTTCTCTCTCAGTATCAGACTATATAAGAAAAAAGTGTCACAGCAGGACTGGTCATCCCCTGAGATTAAGGAATACGGAACATAAAATCAGAAGTCTACTCAATAGGCTTAGGTTCTTTGGAAGCAACTTTGTTGACTCTGAATTCTCGAAATGGCAGAAAGTAAATTAATCTTCTCAACTTGAGGGTATGTGCTTGGCTTTTATTTCACAGTTGATATTCACACAGACAGCAGGAATATGACTGCTAATTGAGTATTCATTGAGTACTCTTTTTTCCCCACAACAAATATATAATTAAGATGTCAGGGGGTGTGTGTGTGTGTGTGTGTGTGTGTGTAATAGAGAGAGAGAGAGAAAGAGAGAATATTCCTCTATGGCGGGGTCCTTCTGTTATATACCATTAGTTTAATTCTATAGTTTTCTGCTCGTTTGATGTTACTAATCTAACTATTCAAGTACACCATTTGCAACGTTGATATTGCTTTCTGCATTGATATGAAAGCAATCAGGATAGGAGTGCTCCAGTGTGTCTGGGGCTCTGTCCTTTTCCTCTCTCTAATCTAGTCTTAGTCTTCACTGCGGCTCCTGTAAAAGCATGAGGCTCCTCACGTCTAAAATAGGTCACTCATTGCTCCCCTATGAGAAGCAAAAGCCAAATGAGCTGATAGAGCTAAATGAGCCGCAGCAGTAAGCACATGTGATTCAGAAGGACTTTCAATCCGTGAAGACAGGGAGAAGCATCCAGAACATCTTCCCTGAATAATCTGATTGACTGAGAAGGTCAATGTTCTGCTTGTATCTAAGCTTTATTTTACTCCCCACAGATGAGCCATGCTCCACCAGCACTCAGTCTCTCCCACAGCCTCGGACATTCCCAGAGAGCTATCAAAAGGTAAATCAGTAACTTCTCTTATTTTATAAAAGATGTAGATGACTATCACCACAGCTACCCAAAAGCAAGAGCCTAAAATAATATAAAACAAGAAAGAGAAATTTGCATTAACTTTAATGGGAAGCTAACAGACACAGCGGTTCGTGCCTATAATCGCAACACTTTGGGAGGCTGATTTCAAGAGGATCACTTGAGGCCAGGAGTTTGAGACCAGGCTGAGCAATAAAGCTAGAGACTCCATCTATACAAAAAAAACTTTAAACCTTAGCCAGGTATGGTGGTATGTGCCTGTAGCCCCAGCTACCTGGGAGGCTAAGACAGGAGGATCTCTTGAACCCAGAAGGGCAGGACTGCAATAAGACATGATTGTGCCACTGCACTGTAGTCTGGGCAACAGAGTGAGACTCTGTCTCACAAAATAATAATAATAATAATAATAATAAATTAATAAATAATAAGAAGAAAGCTGTATTTGTTTAGGGAAACTCCTTTACAATAGAAGGCAAGACCACAGTCCTAGATCGACTTAATTTGGATAAAACTATTCATGCTAGACAAGATGAAAAATAGATCCAGGAGAGGAGAAGAAATGAGAGAAAAAGAAGAGAGTGAAGACTACACACTCCACAAGGTGACTTTCTTGTAAATCCCCTTTTAACGTTGTTAAAAGTCACCAGATGCTTCAAAAAAATGTATTTGTATGGGACTTTTTGAGGCGCTTTGTACCAAGTCTTACAACCAAGTACGAAACTGAAGCAATAAGCTTGGGGATGGGGGTGGGGAGTGAAGAGAAAGGGAGGAGCGGAGAGCAGCATAGGAGAGTGTGCTTATTCCAGGACACTGGATTTGGGTCTAGGTTAACCAAAGCTTAAAGATGGACAGGTGCCTAGGGACACATGGATAACACATGCATAACACAAATTTTTGATTAGTGGCCAGTTAGTCTAAATTTATCAACCAAAAATTTGGCCTACAAACAATAAACAGTACAGCATTTCTTTTGCATTTAGAAGTTCCATGCTCCATAGCTTGCATGATAGACACGCACATGTCATTTCAAAAACATGGTGTCACATAAAAAGAATGGGTCTGGCTCATGGTCAAGTCCCAAGTACCCTCCTTTTCACTGATTAAAGGGTACCTACTGCTGATTGTCACTACACCACAAAGAGACTCGAGCTCTCCTGAGATCAGCAACCCAGCAATCCCTGGGGGCTTGGGAGAGAGTTCCTTCTTGAGATATCTCGGCTTGTTAAATACTCAACACATTATTGTTTTCAATATGTTTCAGGCCATGAAAGGTCAGCATACCTTCTAACAATAACTTTATTTCCAGCCATTTTCTTTTTTTGTTTGTTTGTTTTGTTTTGTTTTGTTTTGTTTTTTGAGTTGGAGTCTCACTCTGTCGCCCAGACTGGAGTGCAGTGGCACGCTCCTGGCCACCACAGCCTCAACCTGCTGGGCTCCGGCGATCCTTCCACCTCAGTCTTCCAAGAAGCTGTAACTACAGGCGCACACTACCACGCCCGGCTGATTTTTTGATTTATTGTAGAGATGAGGTCTTGCCAAGTTGCCCAGGTGGGTCTCGAACCCACGGGCTCAGGCAATCCACTCACATCAGCCTCCCAAAGCGCGGGATTACAGGCTGAGCCACCGAGCCCGATTGCCAGCCGTTTTCAACAGGACACTAGCCTGTAAAGCAGACTACAGTGGTGTCTTGCTTATTAAAGGATAGACAAGGCAACTGTCTCATCAAGTGTCATCCAAGCATGAGGTGTTTAGCACCTTCACTGAACATGCCACCGAACAAGAGACAACCGTGGCCAACACAAAGCTGGCAAACCAACCCACTTAATAAAGAAGGTCAGAGGGAGGAAGATGAAGAGGACAGTAAAGAAGGAGAAATGGAAGTAGCATCTCTGAACTGAATATACTGACACCCTTCCTAGGTCATAAAGCTGAGTCCCTTTTCAGTAGAGGGAACTTAATGATGTAAACTTTTCTACATTAAGTGATATTCACATAATCCTGAAACTATTAGAATCTCTCATGAGATAACAACATCGGTAGAACCTGAAAGTCTCCTTTAGCAAGGATATAAATGTTGACATCCCCCTCTTCTTCCTCAACCAAAGAGTGGTTAAATAAGATGGTTTTCTCCACAGTAAAACATAATAGAACAATATCCAACATATCTACTGGACTAGAAATGGCTTCTATAAATTATCTGTTTATTTCCTCTGTACCGAGTCCCAGAAATCAAAATTAACTTTCCCAGGGGGATCACCTGATCCGTGATCTTTGCTGTACCTTTGGTTAGAGGAGGTTGGGGTCAGGAGGAAGAAATGCCAAGTGGTCCACTCACCATTTGATTGCTATACCAGTACAGCGACGACCCCTTCAGCACCACCCAGAACTTTTTCCATTTGTTGCTTAGGAAAGTTCCCTTTTCCTTTTTCTTATACAGCCACCCTTGGCAGTCAGCATGTCCCAGATCTTTACATGATATCCTCCTCCGACTCATCCTGAAAAACCCTGCAACAATTACATGAAGAGATTGGTAAGGAAATACCCCAATTTATGTGCCAGAGTGATAGGCAACTTTTAATTGTTTACCTCCTGAGACTGAATTTTCACCAAGATATATGCAAAGCTAATACAAAAAAAAAAAAGCCATGTGCCTGTTTTATTTTTAAACATTCACTTGATGCCTAGAAGGTTTAAGATATGGCCAAAGACACAGCGAGACTAATATGCAAGTATTCATCTAAGAATATTATTCACCAAGAAGAAGTTGAAGAAATTAAAATCATAATGCTGGCAGGTAGATCATTGCAATAACCCGGCTCCTTGCAACAATAATAGCCGTAGTTATGCAATAGATGCTGAAGGGTTAATGCCCACCTAAAAACACAGCTACTTCCCGACTCAGTGCCAGTTTCTCTAAGCTCGATTGACATCCCACGAGGGATTAATCCAAATGAACAGCATGTCGTCATTTCTTAAAATCGATTCAAAAAACCAGAAATTAATCTACCATCCACCTCCTCATATTAGCATTAAGACAGACAAAATCTGATTCCAAGGAATACATCCAGGGGAAAATCCACATTCACACACATGAAAACAGGGGATAAAGAAACAAAAGAGATCTAATTACCTTGAGTTTTCCTCCTCGGCTTCTGACGCAAGGGAACCTGCTGAAATGCAGGAAGGAAAGAAAAGAGGAAATTTCTGATTGTGTTGTAACATTTGTAAAGAGAGAAGGAGGGAGGAGGTGGCAGTGTTTATGAGCAGGATGGAATCTAAAAAAAACTCTCCAGGCAGAGCTAATGGGAACCACTAGCTGAGGCACAAAATGTGCTAATTAGAATCAATATACATTGAGCTGAACCTGAAAAAAAAAATGTCACAGAGCATTTATCACTAAGGTTTCCTGTTCCCACCCACAGGCTGCTCTTTCACTACTACTTTAGTTATGATAGCACAGTGTTCACAGAAGTTTTTAAAAAATCATGAAAGATTTCCTTTTTTATATGTTTGTGGGAGAAGGAAAAATATATCTTGCTTCTTTTCTTGCAATTTCTAAATAACAATGATTATGAACATAAACTCGGAAGATAATTGTTACAGTCTCAAAACATGACAGGTTCACTTGGGTCTATGAAGTTCATGGTCCTGTTACTACATAGGGTTACACCTAACCACATGGATTAAACATCCCAGAAAAAGAAATTCCTCACCCTCTTTTAGTGAGGACTCAGTAACCATCAACCCTCCTTTTCAGGCAATTCTTATTCATGGCCAAATTTAAATTTTTTTTAGTCTGCCTTTGAGTATTTCTGAATATTTCTTACATGTTTTATGGAAGATAAATTAGTTACCACCCACTATTCTGTACTAGATCCTCAAATATTCAAATCAGGCATAAGATAATATATCTGAAATCTACATTTTTTCCACAATACATTTTAAACAAATGTAAAATCACATTACTGGCAAAAATAAAAAACCAAAAAAATACTTTTAAATGGCTGTGTGGTGTGTGGTGTGTGAATGCGTGTGTGTCTGTACAGAGACATAATTTTAGATTAAAGAAGTGTCATTTTTTTCTCTACATTATCTAAGCTGAATTTATTGGGTTTAAGTGACGTGAATTTTTATGTTAACAGGTAGAGAATTCAAGGAAAAAAAGTATAACATTGAAAAGCAGTTCTAAAAGTTAGGATGTAATCTCCATAATGTTATTCTAGATGTGCCTAGCTTGTATTCTATATTTCTAACTATTGCTCTAATAGCTATTTATGTAGGTCCACTGTATGTTTAAAGAGGGAAAATAATATAATGGAAATCTAACAGAATTTTAAAATCCAAAGGCCTAGAATCAATTCATAGCTGTCATAATTAGCTGTGTTACCCAGGGAGAAGTCCCTCTCTGAACCTGCTTCCTCATATATAAAATGAAAATATTTATAATAATTCTAATCCTGTAGGTCTCATAAAAAATTTGACAAGACTTATTTGTTAAAATGTTCTGAGAACTAAGCAACATTGCCTTATACAATCATATGTCATATACTATTATATCATTGAAATAAACAAATACTTCATGTCTAATAAACAAAGAAAATTTTGTATGGTAAGTATAATTTGTGTTTTCTTCAGCATTGGAAATGAAGCTAAAGTGCTTAAATTATATTTCTTGGGAAATATAGGTCCAGGAAATACTGCACAGATGTTTTATTTTATGAATATTAGAATAAATTCTATCTCCAAAGAAATCAATCATCCGTCCATAAAGATGTAACAAAGGCAATAACTGCCCTAAAGAGTAAGCGAAGACAGACATGTTCCAATGTGGCATGTTACTAAAATGCAGTCCTGTTATCATGAAAAGGATCTAGTCTCAGTTCCACTTCATATATCTCTCCCACACTGACTTGCCTCCTGGTCTAAAGTTCCTACCATTCCCTCAGATAGTCTCCTGGATCTTTTTTGATATGCTGAGACCAGGAGAACCCAACTAGTACCTACTATCAAAACATGTTTGCCCAAATGTGTATGTTTTTTGAGTAACTAAAACATAGCTGAGAGCCAGGACTAAAGGCAAAGAAGAAAAGTGAATGAATTTAGAATGGTGGGTAAGATTTGGAAAACCTAGGGTCCGGGAGTCCCCAGGGAGCACTTAAGACAAACTAAGAATAAGGGAACTAGGGAGAAGAGGGAATCATAGACAGTTATTCCTTGAGTGCTCGAGCCCCAGATGAGCAAAATAAAATTACATTCATTCCAACAAAAAGAGCAGCTATAAAAAGAACTAGAGCGAGAGCAAAGTCCCTGAGGACAGCTATGGGATCTGCAAAGGAAGAAAGGAAGCCATGCTCGCTTCCGCACTACTGGCTGAGTACCACTGAGTCTTCTCCACGCATTCCCTGTGAGCTCACAGCGAGATAGGACTCGCTGGCTCCACCATCAAACCTTAGAGATGCTTCCAGGGACCATACCACTCCAATGTGTGAGCTTTGTCTCAATTTCGCCCAAGACCAGTCCTTCATCTATGGTAGTGCTTGTGCTAGGATGGGATGACCAGCCCAATACCTCAAGCAGAGTGAGCATGCAACTCAAAGGAAGGTCTTTTTTAAAGGAGAGAGGGGAGATTTGTTATTTAGTCTACCCTGTTCTGACAGTACCTCTCCTCAAGCAAATAATATTAACTGTTAAAATTGTTTCCCTTGACCAGAAACAGACTGCGTATTATAGAAATAACAGATTCAGAGAGTTTCAGTTTAACTGGATAAACATGAATTTGAAACCTCAATTGGTTTATATGAGAGAATGAAAACAATCTTTGAGAACTTTATTGCCTCTGAAGGCACATTTTACTCCTCACAACAGGAAGTGGAACCCAAGAACCAGTCAGTTTCAGAAAGATCTTACATGTGGTTTTTCACTAGGCAAGTGAAAAAAAAAAAAGCAAGCGATCAGTTGAGTATTTTATGAGATGGTTTTTTATTAGGGGAATTAGAACTTGTTATCATCATAAATATTCAGAGCATAATAGGATATTTTCTCATATTGTTTTCTTCTGGTGTGTAGGTAAAATGGAAGAGTTTACTCTAAATATCTGAACTTGCCCTAACTTGGTTCTAAAATTGGGGGAAATATTTTATTTGAAAATATATACATAAAAATTTTTAAAAATTAAAAAAAAGAAAAGAAAAAGTAATAAAGAAAATATATATCTTCTTTTTATTGAAGAAGTGCATTTTTTTACCATTTTAAAAATAGTTCAAAACTTCATTTGGCCACTAGTTACTCAAAAACATGTAGAAATATACAAAGGAAGTTCCTCTGATATTGAATGATGGACCTAACACCCAGGTTACAGGAAACTATTTTATAGACTTATAATCCATATAGTAGTTGTTAAATGTCACAGCACAATTTATCCTAGGATGTATTAAAATTCACAATAAGGTGCTTTGTCATTACATTAGACTTCATAGTGAGCCTGGTCTTTAGCAAAAACTTTATAGTAACGTGCTGGTAAATGTACTCTCTGATTACAGGAACACTGACTTACAGCTTTTGCCAATTTCTGTGATGCAAGACCTTGAAATTATTGACAATTTCAAGTTACTTTAACATCCCAGCCACAAAAATTCCCAGCTACTTTGTAGCCATCCAAAGTAGCACGGCACTGATAGAGCTGTTAGGGTTGTTTCTTTAGAAATACCTGAATCTCCACAAATGTTGTTCCTCCTTTCTGGAAAGCTAAGCTCAATTTTTTAAGAATTGTAAAGTTTTTAATTAGAAAAAAAGTACCTGTGAAAAACATGAAAAACTTGTCTAATTTTTTTTTCAGAAGACTGGCCATCTTAAATATTACTTAATAAATTAACATGAAATGAAAATTTCTAGTAGTGAATAATGGAGATATATAATAGACATTCTAGTAATAATAGAAGCAGTAATAAAAACAACGAGAGTTAAGAAATATGAATAAAGCTAACAATCATATGTTGATCACATGCCAGCCACTGCTTTGAATGTTTTCAGAGATGCCCACATTGAATTTTCACAACCTCCCGTTTGGCTTGTGTGCTAATATATATATATATATTTTTTTTCTTTCCCCTTTTTTGAGCCAGGGGCTCACTCCATCATCCAGATTGGTGTGCAGTGGAATGATTATGGCTCACCACAGCCTTGACCTCCTGAACTCAGGTGATCCTTCTGTCTCAACCTCCAGAGTAGCTGGGGCTACAGGTGTCAGCCATCATATCTGGCTAATTTTTTTTTTTTTTTTTTTGTATAGACGAGGTCTCACTATGTTGCCTAGGTTGGTCTCAAACTCCTGGGCTCAAGTGATCCTCCCACCTTGGCCTTCCAAAAGTGCTGGGATTATAGGCATGAGCCATCACACTTGGCCTTTTAGGTGCTATTATTATAGCCATTCTACAGGAGCAGAAAGTGAGGAAAATGGAGTTTCAGTATGTTGTCTAAAGTCACAAAAGTAAATGGTAAAATGCAAATAGGTAGTTCAAGAATAAAACTCACAGAATAGTAGACTGTTAGGATATTTGCTTGTGCTGTGGCTATTTTGCAAAGAAGTAGGACAGGGAAGCAAGGACTAAAGTTTGAGGGGAGGCTAGATGCCATGGCACATTCTACCTGGAAGAGAAACAGAGTAGGAAGAGAGGGGGGAGGAAGAGAGAGGAGAGAGGGGGCTGAAGAAAAAGAGAAGAGAAAGGGGAAGGGGAAGAAGAAAGAAAGTAGAAAGTGGGGAAGAGCAAAGTGGGAAAATCCCAGAGCTTCTAGTTTGAACAATTAAATAAATGATTTAGCAATACATTATAGACAACACAACTTGAAATATATGTATATTGGTTCAGCAGTAAACATTGAGTTTGATAGACAGGTAAGTCATCTACGTGGAAATACTTGGTATATGGTAGTATTTAAGGACTTAGGGATTTGGAGAAAAATCTGGATTAGAGATGTAAAATCGTGACTCATCAGTGTATAAACATAGAAGTCTCAAGTTTGGATCAGATCATCTAGAGAATGTATATAATAACAAAGGCTCGGTATCAGAACCTGAAGGAAGACCAACATATCACAGAGAAGCAATAGAAGCCTCGTGAGAATGAGGCAGGACAATTAGCTTAGCTTAGATATAGATAGATGAGTTTCT